GTACCAATTGTTCCACCACAACGCACAAAGATAGGCCTTCAAAGAAGATTGGGAATATACATTGGGTATGAATCCCCTTCTGTCATCAGATATCTTGAGCTTCAAACTGGTGATGTTTTTACGACACATTTTGCCAATTGCCATTTTAATGAAGTAGTCTTCCAGCATTAGGGGGGGAAAATAAATAACTGAAAAAATAAATTACATGGTGTGAACCATCATTGTTACATCTTGATCCTTACACAAAGCAATGTGAACTAGAAGTTCAAAAGATTAGGCACTTACAAAACTTAGCAAATCAATTACCAGATGTGTTCACTCATACAAAAAGGGTGATTAAATCATATGTACCAGCTGCAAATGCTCCATTCGGATTAAAATTCCAAAAGGACAATATGAGAATGAAGTCATTAATATGTCTAAAACACGCCTAAAGTGTGATAGACCTATCGGTTCTAAAGACAAAAATTCTCAAAAAAGAAAGGGAGCAAATGAGCATAATGACCCTGATTTGGAGGAAAGTGTTCTAGGAGAAATAAAAAATAATACAAACAAAGAGATTCTCGATATCATAAAAAATTCTGAAGGTTTTGAGAATAGTGAGATCTCTATTGACTATATCAATACAAGAGGATTATGGAATCGAAATGAAATTGAAAAAATATTGATGAAAAATTTTCTAACTTTGTGGCATGTGAAATTATTAACGGAACTGAGGATCCTGAACTAAGATTCGTTTCTAAATGTCAAAATAGACACGATTGGATCAAATAGAAAGATGTTATATAGGCTTTCGCTTAATAAGCGTAAATTTTTTTGACATATTGTCTTAACGCCTGAAGTCGTGAGACTTGTGGGATACAAATGGATTTTTGTGTGAAAATACAATGAGAAAAATGAAATTGTAAGGTATAAAGCTCGACTTTTTGCACAAGGTTTTTCACAAAGATCCATGAATTGATTATGAGGAAATGTATTCTCCTGTAATGGATGCAATTACATTTAAATATTTAATCATCCTAACAATTTCTAAAAATTTAGAGATGCGTCTTATGGATATTGTTACAGCTTATTTATACGGATCGCTTGATAGTGATATTTATAAAAAAATTCATGCTGGATTTAAGATGCCTGAAGCACTATATTCAAAACCTAAAGATATATGGTCGATTAAGTTACAAAGATCAATATATGGATTGAAGCAATCCGGATGCATGTGGTATAATCGCTTAAGTGAATATTTGTCAAAAGAAGGATATGTGAATAATCCCATATGCCCATATTTTTTTTATTAAAAGAACAACATCTGATTTTGTTATAATCGTGTCTGTCGATGATTTGAACATTATTGAAACTCATAAAGAAATTCAAGAAGCTGTGATATACTTTAAAGATGAATTTGAAATGAAAAACCTTAGAAATATGAAATATTGTCTTGGTTTACTGAATGAGCACCTTTAAAGTGGAATACTTGTGTATTAATCAAACTATACTAAAAAGGTCTTAAAACACTTTAATATGGATAAAGCAAACCCTTTAAGTACTCCAATGATTGTTAGATCATTTAATGTTGAAAAGAATTCATTTCGCCCTTGCGAAGGTAATGAAGAAGTCCTCGGTCTTAAAGTACCATATTTAAGTGCAATAGGAGCTCTTATGTATCTTGCTAATTGTACCTGACCAGATATAGCTCTTGCTACTAATCTATTAGCAAGATTTAGCTCATCTTCTACACGATGGCATTGGAATGGAATTAAGCATATATTCCGTTATATTCAAAGAATATTTGATTTGGGATTATTTTATCCTAAAGGATCAAAACAAGGGATGATTGGTTTTGCAGATGCATGATATTTGTCAGATCCACATAAAGCCAGGTCTTAAACTGGATACGTGTTCACATGTGGAGGTATTGTTGTTTCATAGCGTTCATAAAACCAAATACTTATTGCCACTTCTTCAAATTATGCAGAAGTTATTGCACTCCATGAAGCAAGTCGAGAATGTGTATGGATGATGTCTATGACTCAACATATCCAAAAAACTTATGGATTATCTATCAGTAAAGATCCAACAGTATTATTTGAAAATAATGGAGCATATGTCGCTCAAATATAGGAAGCTTATGTCAAAAGCAACATAACGAAACATATACCTGCGAAGTTCTTATCATACTCCCAAGAGCTTGAAAAAAATAAGGATATTGATATTCAATACATTTGATTAAGTGACAATGCATTAGATCCTTTCACAAAGGCACTTCCCACTACAACATTTAGAAAGCATATCTACAGTATCAGGATGCGTTATCTGCGAGATTTATGAGAAATGCCTATACATGTCAACTTGAGGGGGAGTTTACGTGGCTATATAATTTTTTCCTTATTATGGTTTTATCCCACTGGGTTTTCCTGATAAGGTTTTTAACGAGGCAACATAAACACGTATAGATAAATGATGTACTCTTTTTTCCTTTATTATGATTTTTATCTCACTGGATTTTTCCCAATAAGGTTTTTATTGAGGCGTGAATAGTAATTGTTCACCTCAATTAAAATTACTATGCAAGTCAGTCTAAGTACTATTCATGTTAAAATTTTACTGAATAAATAGTAATCGTAAATATTAAGTATTATACAAATAGTAACCGTGAATAATATTAAAATTTTTTTTATAAATAGAACTTTAAAACTCTTTATTTTATATATGTTCACAAAATTAATAAAACTCTCTAATTTTTCTCTTTAAAAATTTTCTTTCTTCATTTTACATTTTTTTAATTTTCATAATAATTTTTTATTTTTACGTGATTTTATCTGAGCAAATTTTTATCCTAGAAGACCCTTTATTTTATTTTATCTCGAGGTTGGAGCCCACCTTGTCAAAAGTACAAAGACAAGCTGTCGTTTTTTTTTTTTTTTTTTGTCGGCTCTGTATTGTGTACTGCAGAGGTCAAACTTCTTAGTTGGCTTTCCAACTTCCCCAAAGTCCCATGTCTCAACTCAAACTTCTCTCTCTATCCATTCCCTTTAATTTATTTATTTCTTTATAGCTTCATTTTCTGCATCTTCCTCGGAAATGTGACACAGTACAGAAAAAGCCTTCAAACATACCATGTAAAAACCTACAAACATATTGACTTTAGGACCTCTTAAATTAAAAAATAAAGGATGTTGTTGTTGGCTGCCCAATTCGCTATCGTTAGTTTCAAAACAATTCTGTACGAGAACATTTTGATACTGTCAAACTACGGAATATACATAGTGGGGTTTTGTTTGCAAGATGAAGGAAGAAGAAAAGTATACATAAGTTAGGAGCAACTGATAATCATAATCCTATCCAGTTAACATATCATCTTAGATCTTTGTGTGAAGAAAATAACCAATGCTCTTAACAAACAAATAGAATATTTTGCATTGTAAGTATTTGAGGTTGATTCTTTTGAGTTTTGACTAATGAAAGGATATACACACTTTATATAGGATATTGATAATGTTGAGTACCATCCACTAATAAAAAGTGAGTCCCGTAATATAACTTCTACAGATAAAATATACATTTTATTAATGATGGTGCTTAGTATAGATGATGTTCAAAATAAACAAAATAAATTACATATTTATTATATTAAAGTTAACAATAATAGGCTAATATTATAATATTAGGTAAATAAAATAATAAATATATGTTGTAATTATTAGTTTTTTAATTTTATATTTATAAGTAAAATATGTGTATGATAATAATTTAGTGTTAATATCAGGAATAAGAGTCTCAATCTCAGGGGCATGAGAGTACCAATCTTATTGCTCAATCTCAAGTTTGAGCGGAACCCATCAATCTCACTCCTATTTTAAAATAAAAAATAACAAATAAACCTGAGATTGAGATTGACTCACATTTTTTAATCTTGATAAGTAAACATGCTAATAAAGTATTTATGCTAACCAGTCTCCGCCAGCCTCCACAGGGGCTATATATGGTCAAAAAGGTTTTGTTTCAACACCATCGAAAGGTCAATCTGTTTTCGTTTTTTCTGTGATGCGGCGACGCAGATAACTCATAACAGCAAAAATGCAATAAAACGGAAAAGAATGGAGAAATATCTTACGTAAGACCTAACTTTCCCACTGGGGGTTGCATGGGGTGGATTGGAATTTGTCAATTTGAGAAGAGAATAAGGGCTTACCACAAAATAAGTACAAACGACATTTTGTGTTGGTGATAGGTACGCGGGAGACACTGCCGCCCAACCCCACAAGAGCAGACCTTTGATTGGGTGTGTCGAAAATTACAATTTTCTTATAGGCCCACCCCCCCACATATTCCAGTTTTCTATTTAATTTGATGTTGTTTTCCACTTCTTTGCTTCCAAAATATGGCAGGAATCTAATCTAAGGAGATTTTTCTTTTTCTTGTTTTCAGTGTCGGAGGATTCTGCCATGCTATTCCACTTGCGTATTCATTTGTCATTAAAATTGGTTAATTGCTTCTAACATTGTGGTGGCCTCATTAGTAAAATCAAATATATTCTTGGGGATTTATATACGTAATTTTAATGATTATTCTATTATTTATCTATAGATAGATATTGTTATTTTAATAATAAGATATTGATTTGACGGTTGTAATAAATTAGATAATTAATTAAAAAATTATGATAATTAAAGAAAATAAACTCTTATCACGCTACATCATTAAATTTTTATATTTAATAGAAATGTAACTATTGAAAACTGGCATGTACTTGTACCATTTACTTACAAATATTCTTTGTAATACTTTGGCGCTTCGTATGAAGTGAGTGAAAGATCAATATTGAACACTGATCATTATGCTTTTCTTATTCAGGTGTAAAACCATATCCACATGACAACACCCAAAAAAAAAAAGGGAAAAAATTTATAGCCAAAAAAGCAAATTAAAGAGATTAAAATGCTGAAAAGCTCAGTTAATTATACATTAAACATCCTACTAACTTTCTTTAAGACTATTGATCATCAGATGAACAACCTGAGAACCGTTCTTGTGCCCCCTCCTAAACTAGAATCCAAATTGTCCGCCGAAGAACTGCTCGCCAACGTCGTCGTTTCGGACTCCTCCGACGGAGCTCTCGGCTTCGCCACCAAGCATAGATCGAGATCAGGAGACATCGAATCGTCGGCGTCCTCGACGTTAAAAGGCCGCCTTTTGGGCCGCGACCTCGAGCGCTGCCGTCCCATGAACCGGTTGACCGTGTACTCGGATGCATTATCGACCGATTGATCAGCTGCAGCAACTCCGCCGTGAGACTCCGCGAGTGGCCCCAACGCGCCGCCTCGGAGCACCGTCTCCGCCGCTGACTGGCACACGTGCCAGTTCCCCGTCCACAGAAGCCCCACCGCTCCATGCACCGGGTTGATTGTCCTTCCCACTGCTTCATACAGAAGAGACTGAAACAAAGCTGAAAAGTAAAAACTTTATCAGAAACTATTTAGTCTCAAAATTAACATGTGAATGTATGATTAATAAAAGAAATAATAATACCGGGCCGTTGGTCTTCGGGGACAGCGGCAATGAAAGACATGAGGCCGGCGCGGCCGAAGAACTTGGCGACGAAGACGGTGGCGTGGGCTTGGGCTTGCGGGTTGTCGATTAATTGCAGGCATTGCCTTAACATGCAATTGTCGCTGCAGCCCTTCCTGAGAACTCGGCAGCCATTGCAGCTCATGATTTCCGCACATATATATAAATATTCTAATAGGATGGCTATTCTAATTTCTTTATAATCTTTCTTCTCTGTGATTTGCTTTGATCAAAACTCAAAGAAATGGTAATAGCTTGAGAGAATTTGTTGGCGTGGTCACAAAGAAAGAGTACTAGTGAATTAAAGAGTGAGAGAGAGGCAAATTAGAAGGGCACATAAATATTCGCATATATAGAGGGGTGGGATTAATTAATTAATGTGCATGCGGAGAAACTAGAGTGTGTTTGTGTGTGTGTGTGTGTGTGTGATTCTTCTTAACTCTAAAGTGGGATTATAATTATCCATGGTTAGATTGATTAACTATTGGTTTGAGTTAGTTGGGGAGAAGTGGGTTAATTGGGGTTCCAAGGAGTTAGGGCGAAAGCGGCTCCGGGTTTCCACGGAAGGGTGTGGTGTTTCTCCACCGCTGGATTCCTCCTCCTCTGAGATTGGATAACAATGATAACATCTATGACCCATTTTAGATTCTTTTATTATAATTGTTTTCTTTCTATTCGCTTGTGTTTTGTGGAATAATTGGAGCCTCGGAAGAAACCACTAGATTTTTTAAGATTAAATTAGAGGGCACCAAAGAAAGCACCCCACAAAGTACGTATATTCTTTTTTTTTTTTCCCCTTGCTTTCTTTGAATTAGAGAAGCCTATAGTAAGTACTAAGTAGGGTATGAAGCAACTCTCGTCATTTGGACATCGTTTTATACCGTCGGATATTTATTAAGTTTTTTTTTTTTTTTTTGCATATTTTTTTTGTTTTTATGTAACGTTTAAAAACATGCAATAATGATACTGATATCCAATCATAAAAAGATAATAATAATAATAATAATAATAATAATAATAATAATCTAATGATATGCGTTTTTAAATGTGATATGCGTTTTTTTATGAGTTAGTTAATTAGGGTTTTTTTTAGTTGGTTTGTTCCCATTATAAATTTTAAACCACTTTAAGCATCATGAATTAAGTTATACACAACTAGGGAATGAAAATCAAATATGCAAATCACTAAGGGGGCGTTTGGTATGCGGGAATCAGTAGGAATCATATTCCCAAGAAAGTGATGGAGGGTAATATAATTCCTAAGAATAATACATTATTGTGTTTGGTTCCATACATGAATCTTTTTTAAATTCTCAGGAATATTACATTACTGTGTTTGGTTGTTCGCATGAAAAAAGATCCATAATAATAATAATAATATTAATATTAATATTAATATTAATAAAATAATAATATTAATAATAATAATAAAATAATAATAATAATAATAATAATAATAATAATAATAATAAGATTCTCATGATTTTGAGATTCTTGAGAATTTGAATAACACCATGTTGGGTGGTATTTAAATTACCTTAAAATGAGGGAAAGTGAATCCCATGGTAATCACTTTCCTGAGAATCTAAAAATTATAATTCTTATACTAAACATGGTAATATTACAGATTCTCATTCTCATCGTTAAAATTACTGCATACTAAACGCCCCCTAAAGGTCAATTCAAGTGCCCTTTTCAACATTGCATTGTAATTTTTTATCATGATCTTCACAAAGTGATCCAATGCTAGCTCGCAAAGTGGATATAAGAAAGAGTGGTGGATCTAGCTGGCTTTTGAGCAGGCTAGTTGAGTACAAATGTGCATCCATTTTCTTGGGCAAAACCTTTTACGCATTATAATAAAGAGAGAATATATTTAAGATAATGGTAGAAGAATCTTGTAACCTTATAACCCTTTGTCCCCACCCAATAAATTATGTTATATGTATTACCCATTAATTAATTCTTAACCACAAATTACCTATTAGTTTAACTTGTAAGATACACACTACACAGAAACAACGCATCATATATATAGATTTGAGATGAAGAAAACTCAGAAGGACATGTTTTTGTATATTTCTATGTAGTAGTGATAAGTAGAGTGAGCGGCTGCTTTTACGAGGCGCCGAGAATGGGAAGAATATGAGCGATAACACATGAAGAAGAAGACAAGGCTGACGATGGCTATCAAGTAAAGGCTTTGTAGTTGTAGTCATGGGCTTCGGGTACGTGGCATCCTTGTCTTATAAGGACCACAACTAGAATCTATATATATGTGTGTGTGTATATATATATATATGTAATTATATGTATATATATATATACTGTATACATTATGTCTGTCCATTATTATATGTTTACATTCATACAAAATTTAAGTTTGTGGAGAATGGATTCCACATCATAATTAACTTTTTGTTGTCAACTTTTAGCGCCATGCATATGGATATAGATGTTAGTTTAGTCTTATTTAATTCGCCAAACAATTTGGACTAGTATGATGTGAACTAGAGCCCATAATCGTTTTAATGGCTTTTACACTTTATTAATTTGGCGCTTATAGTTGATGAAATCTCGTATATGTTTATGTATATGCTCTATTATACATGGAAAGTTTATATGATAAGATCTGAAATAATGAACTATAAATAAATCTCAACTTTCTAATCATTAAATTTTTATAAGAAATTATTTGCTCTACATATTTTTTAATTTGGATATGATTTTAAACAGATTGAACGATTAGAAATATATAATGTCGGTAGGAATTTTCACCCTATAATGTCCCGTATATAGTATGTAGTTTAATTGACATTTTATATATGGGTCCTCCAAGACCAAGTTGGTATGCCCGTACACATATATGATGTCAAGAGTGGACTGTGAGAGCGAGAGAAATGACATTTTTTTGGCGTCTATATCCATTGAAATGGAGACACTTATTATCACAGCGTCCTTTCCATGACTTAAAAGGACAGATTGTAATTTGGAAATTGGATTGGCCAAGGTTTAGAGGTCATTTCTGGTCTCCTTACATGATAATACATCATCTCATTTTTTGTTTCCCTTTCTTTTCTCTCCTTTTCCCTTAAAAAATACTTCATTTTTTACATTTTATTTTTTTCGAATTTCTCACTTTAGTTTGCAACCACATAGGCATATATATGAGACCTCCTTTTCTTGGACGTCATCAGGGAAGAAGGCTATATATGATATATCTTTTATGATCTTCCTTTCAGAATTAGATGAAGAATATTTAGATACAAATATTAGCATTTGGATTTTTCTGATTTTCTAAAGCTTACAATTTTGTCTCTTTGTGTCGGTAAGTCCTTGCCAATCCTTTGTAAATAACGTTCCTTTCCTTTCGTTAGATTCCCGGCTTCATTTTGTTAAGTGATCCGTTGTTGCCTTATCATCTGGATTACGGAGCTGTACTTTACACAAGTATAGTTTGAAGGTTATATATACATATATATATATATGTGTGTGTGTGTGTGTGTGTATTTTCATATGATTTTGCTCTCGAAATGCCGCATATCACAGTCAATTGGCAAATGATACATGTGAGGTGCAACAATTCGCAGCACAGAGCAAAAAAAAAAAAAAAAAAAAAAAAAAAAAAAAAAAGCAAGCATGTGAATTCATTGAGATGATAAGGCCAAAGCTAGTACTGGCGATCATTTCTAAGCTTTATATGAGAATTCAGATGTATAACTTTGTTTTCTGCCGGATTGGTTTGATATAACATATGCGGTTGTCTATGGTTGACTATGTATTATGTTTTCCTTCCGAAACATTCTTGTGTTTCAAAATTGGTCAAATACATTTTATAATTATATCATATACTTTCGAATATATAGTCTGTGTTTTTGTGTTGGTATGGTTTTTATCATTACCAAATCTAATTATTCAAAGCTAGTAAAAATTGACTCCTCTACTTTTTAATTAGTGAAGCACAAGATCCACTCAAACTACTATTTTACTATCCTAGCTCCTTAGTAAAGAGCCAATAACGAGATCAACCAAAAGACTCAAGAAAGAACTACAAGAACATAGGCAGTAATTTGACGTTTGAAATAAATAGAGAAACTTTTACCTATTACTCTTGATAAATACAATTTTTTAGCGACGTTTCTATTTTGTTTGGCCCAAAAATATTCTAAAAATTAGAACATTACATAACTGGTCAGCAGCTTAGATTACTTTAGCTATAAATTCTCAGCAGCTTGGATTACTATAGCTTTATTACTATGGTTAACGGACTGCCGAAAAAAAAATATGCTTGTCTATGCAGTTGACTATGTATTATGTTTTCCTTCCGAAACATTCTTGTGTTTCAAAATTGGTCAAATACATTTTATAATTATATCATATATTTTCGAATATATAGTCTGTGTTTATGTGTTGGTATGGTTTTTATCATTACCAAATCTAATTATTCAAAGCTAGTAAAAATTGACTCCTCTACTTTTTAATTAGTGAAGCACAAGATCCACTCAAACTACTATTTTACTATCCTAGCTCCTTAGTAAAGAGCCAATAACGAGATCAACCAAAAGACTCAAGAAAGAACTACAAGAACATAGGCAGTAATTTGACGTTTGAAATAAATAGAGAAACTTTTACCTATTACTCTTGATAAATACAATTTTTTAGTGACGTTTCTATTTTGTTTGGCCCAAAAATATTCTAAAAATTAGAACATTACATAACTGGTCAGCAGTTTAGATTACTTTAGCTATAAATTCTCAGCAGCTTGGATTACTATAGCTTTATTACTATGGTTAACGGACTGCCGAAAAAAAAAGAGAGAGAGAGAACTTTGTCAAATTTAAATGGCTTACTGTTTTGCTCTCGTTGAGAGTCGAAATCAAGACCTCCTGTTTACTAAACAGGTGCTCTAACCCACTGAGCTACGAGCGCTTGTTGCTTGTTTGGGCTTTAATTAAATCTTTCTATATTATCTTTTTGTATTTTTGGTCTGTTTCTTTGAAGTAATTAATTGGAATCCTTTCCGTTGTTCCTGTAGTTACAGTTTACAAAGATATGTATATTATCATAATCTTACATTTTACCAATAATAATCTTACTAATTTATCCATATGATAGCGACTCCATTTTTTTTAAGGCAAACTGGTC